GATGGATGGATGGATGGATAGATGGACGGATGGACGGATAGATGGATAGATGGATATATACTTTATTGATTGATACAATTTGGGAAATTCTTTCGTCACAGTTAACTGTTGTAATAATAATAATAATAAAGTAAATATCTCCAACAAAAAAAGGAATTCTGATCTGATTCTCTGTGTAAGGGTAACACACAAACACAGCTGTGTGTGGAGCTAACAGGGAGCAATGGGGGGGATGAAGGAAGGGTAATGGGTGAGGAAGAAGGGGGGAGTGATTGCTGTGAATAATGGGGAGATGGTGTGTGCATGGGGGGCCTTTTGTAGAGATCACAATAGTAGCAGGGTTAGCAGGGCGGCACACAGATGCCCGGGTGAGACAGGCAGCTGCCCAGAAAGGTGAGGGATGCTGGGTAGGGAGGGTGGAGGATGGGGGGGTGTGGAAGAGGGTGAGGAAGAGGAGGGTGAGGATGTCACACAGGCTTGGGGAGTAACGGATGAGGTAATCAGGATACAAAAAGAACTAACTGTAATATCTAATAATAAGTTATCAGATTACTGTTAAAAATGTTATAACACAGATATTGATTGTACTACGCGTTTTGGGTTTCTTTTGTAGATAAGTGTCTTTAAAAAAATATATTTAGTTTTTAATAATCATTTTATTTTCAATCTTCTCTCACTTATTTCCTTATGTTACAAAAATCCGTCTGAGCTTAAACAGCGTTAGTAAACTATTACTGTTACGACATTTCTGTTATAACATAAATCTTGTTTTCTGAGGTTACATTGCTACATGCACTTAACTAAGAAACATCTCATTGTTTACAGTGTAAGTATTCAAAATAAATTGAGAATACTTACAGGATTACAGTGTTTTAATACATTTTAAATTACATTGGTTGACATGTAACTAGTTATTGTAACAGATTACATTTTCTTAAAGTAACCCTCTTACTGTCACAAACATATAGAGGGCGCTACCAAAGCAGGAGGATTAACCACGGAGAGACGTTTTTTAAAATGTTCTTATTAATGTTATATTAATTTACTATCAGCAATATCCTGCACAATAATCCATAACTCAATCTAACTTTTTCTATTGTCGTGTTATTTTCTAGTTCATGTTTAAAAAGTACATTCATTTCCTTGTAAAGGGAAACATGTTATTCTTTATTCTTTATCAGAATGTTTGTTTAGATTGTACTTTGGGCAATACTGTATGTCATTTTGGTCATGCCAATAAAGCTATTTGATTTAAATTGAAAGAGGGGAGGGTATATAGAGGTTATTTCATAGAGTGAGAGTTAATTTCATTGTGAGGTTGCTTTCATCCATCCAGCGAGAGAAAGCAGAGAGAACGAACAGTGCTGCAGTCAGCCTCAGTCTTTGTGCCTGCAAAACTAGCTCAGCCCAGCAGAAATGGAGGCAGAGGGGAGGGTGTGTGTGTGTGTGTGTGTGTGTGTGTGTGTGTGTGTGTGTGTGTGTGTTTGTGTGTGTGTGTGTGTGTGTGGTGTGTGTGTGTGTGTGTGTGAACGAGCCAAAGTGTTCTCTGTGAGCAAAACAGGGCTAGGTTTTTCACGCTGGGAAACAATTCCACTGAATGCAAACAACACACTTTGTCAGCAGATTGCATTTTCTCAAGTACATTATATTAAAAATCACACAGAGGAGAAAGAAAGAAAGGAAAGGAAAGGGTGAGACAGAGAGAGAGAGAAAGAGAGAGAGGGGGAGAGCAACAGACGAGCTAGAGGTAGGGACGGGACGGAGGGTGAGAGTGAGCGAGCGAACAAAAAAGAGAGAAGCCCTGGAACGTGAATAAAAACGTTCGCTGAACACAGGAAGCTAACGGCCCCCAGAATAGCAACAGGAACCAGCCCGGACTCTGAGTAAACGTCAAAACAAAGGCTGCTCGGCGTTATGAAAGCTGATTTACTGAGAGGAGAAGAGAGAGAAGGGGGAGGGGGGGAGGCAGCAAGGGAGGGAAAGAGAAAACAGAAACAGGAACGAGAGGCAGAGAGTGAATATATATATATATATATATATATATATAATATATATATATAATATATATATATCATATATAATATATTCATAAAAAACAGATAGAATGCAGCAGAAAAACAGAGTTATATTGCAGAGAGGGGGAGGGTTGGGAGAGAGAAAAGTGGGCCGGGCTTCCGTCAGGATGATTGCTCCAGAGCTATGTCGCAAAAAACAAGCTTAGCTGCAGCAGCAGAAGAGAGGGCTGGGCTGAGCGGGGGAGAAAAGATGGGGGAGAAAGTGGGGGAGGAGGAGTTGATCAGCAACGAGACTGGAAGATCCCTCGGTTCCAGATCAGGAGACTCGGCTCATAACATTAAAGTGTCATTAAGGAGGGGAGGGGTGGGGGGGGTTGATTTGTTGTGAAGTGGGTGGCCCCTGAGCTTTAAAAATGCACCGGGTAGAAGTGAATGTATGAATAAAGGAGGGGGAAATTTAAGGGAATATTTTAAGGGGAGAAAACTCGGACGAAAACGGAGGATTTTTTTGCTTATTAAGGAATAAAAGTAGACTGATGGAAGCAAACACATTTTGAGAAGGGAGAGTTGAACGGGGGATATTTTAAGGGATATTTTAAGGGGAGAAACTCGGTCTAAACTAGGATTTTTTCGCTTATTCAATCAAGATTCAAGGCTTTATTGTCATGTGTACATAGCTACAGTGTAGATTATATCATGACAATCTTTCATGGCTCCTCCAACAGTTGCAACACAATAAAACAGATAAAATAGTTCAAGTATTGTAGTAGTTATTGTTTTATTAGTGTTATTTAATATTGTAGGTTATTGCCTGTACAGCACTTTGGTCACTGAAGGGTGTTTTAAATGTGCTATATAAATAAATAAAGATTGAGATTGAAGTAAATACAAATAAAATGGAATAGAAATAGTCTATATACAAGTAATATATAATATAGTAGCTTATTAAGGAAATAAAAGTAGACGGATGGAAAAGCAGGAAAGAATGTCCTTTTGTGTAGGGAGAGTTGAAGGGGCATATTTTGAGGTGAGATAACTAAACTAAGATTTTAAACTAATTAAAGAAACAAAAATCAACCAATAGAAAAGCTAGAATGCATGCCCTGAATCATTAAGAATACTCAACATAAAGAGGCCTCTTCTCTAAAGCATATTGTATTTTGTAAAAATGTAACCATCCAGGCATCTTCTCTAGAATGTATATATTTGATTATTTCTTAGAATCAGAGCATATGCCTCTCCTGTACTCCACATTATATATTTTTTTATTTCTTAAAATAAAAGCCCTGTCAAAGCAATTTCAGTGCGCATTAACCAAAAATGGCCAACTTTCAAAAGGCTTACTTAAAGGGGACCTATCATGCAAAATGCACTTTGTGATGTCTTTTATTCATCAATATGTGTCCCCGGTGTGTCAGGGAACTCATGCAGTGTCAGAAAATAAAACCCTCTCTCTTTTCCTCCGTACCCAAATCTCTAAAAACGGGGGAACAACGGAGCTGATCCAGATTTGCGTCCGATATGACGTAATATCTGAAATGTGGACCCACGGCCCTATCAGAAACATTGCTATCAGAAACAATGCCCGACTGTTTTGGACGTAATATGGTCGGTGTTTACATTAGCATCGCTAACACTCAGAGCTAACCCGTTTTTGTGTAGTTAAAGCACCAGATAGTGTTGAAAAGAAAGCATTTTTCAAGCCAAATATACTCCGATTCAAGCTTATTTCTAACCTTGATTACACAACGGCTAAAAATTAAGCATTTTCCAAATCTTTAAAGACTTTAGCAAACCCCTGAAAAGTGTTAAATTAAAGTACGGCTAAATAAAAAGGTACCACTCCATTACAGCATTGTTCACACATAAAGTAGACTAAACCCCTGGCTCTTCCTTCAAGATAAAGCCCCTCCAGATGAAGGGGTTTGGCGGTTTGCAAAAATAAATGTGTGTGTGTGTGTGTGTGTGTGTGTGACCTCTCGAGTCTGGAGCACATTCAGTCACATCAGAAAAGTAGAGCATTGTAACCAGTGGGCGGCTCTGAGTGGGATTAAGCTTCCAACTGGAGAAAGGAGGTACAAAAGACCTGGGGAAAAGGACAAGGAGGAGATTTGGGAAGCTGGTGGCGGTCGGGCGCTTATTCCCATGGGAGAACACAGAGAGGAAGTGTCATTTCCAGAGGGAGAATGAAAAGCCAGATACAGAGAAGAGCCTGATTCTAAAAAAGGGTATTATTATTATTCCTTTTAGCTAATAAAGA